TTTTTCTTTGAGCGACACAAACTTTTTGAGATACTAGTATTATGCATTCATTTAAGACAAAACCATCGAAAAAAAGGTATTTAAAAACCCCCTCTCCTTCTCAACTTTATTTTTCAACATGATTTGCACCGATTGCAGATACTTTCCTTCGGTCTAAGAACAAGAAAGAGTTGCGTTGCGATATCCGGAGAACTTCGAGAATGCGTTGTGTTGGTATCAAACTGAAAGCGAGACCGAAGGGATAATAGTTCAAGCGAGCGGCGAAGCGAGGCTTTTTGAGATGCCAGTGCGAACAAAGGGTTTAGAGAAAGAGCTTTGTGAGAGTCTGATTGTGGCGGCGAGAGCGTAAGCACGTACTACGGAGTGTAAAGTGACAACAAATCGTTAATCATTACAAAAATCACTTAATTTCCTTGAAGTGCAAATCCTGATTAATAATGAGTAAAGATGTTCCTTTTAATAATAGGTGAACAATGTCACAACGATAAACTTAAATAGAAAAAGAAAAAACGACAACGTGACAACGAGAGTGCAATGAAACACTGCCAAATTCGAACAACATATTCGTTCCAATAATCTAAGCAACGAATATAAACAAAGTGAAACTTGCAATACAACACAAAATAGCCCATCAACAAGTGCAGCGACAGCAATAACTTCAGCTATCGTCTCTCGCAAAAACTACACTGATGAAGTTAATTCGAACCAAAACAAAATATCAACAGCAAAAAAATTCCTCCAATAAACACATTCGACGTCGAATCAAAACGAATAATAGAATTAATAAAAGACGGTACTTAGAAAAATCAAAAGTAAAATTCATTTCTTACATGCCTAAATGTTTAAAGATATGTGTTTCTGTTGAAAGGGTTAAACGGCAATACCGATCCCGAAGAAATTTTTAATGAATTTTGCACATATCAAAACGATAACCTAAAAATTCTTAAAGTTAATCAATTTACCACAAAAATTTCCACGCAACGCAATATAAAACTACCTATGTTTATGGTTCAAACAAGTGCCAAAAGCAGTGTTAACGAATTGAAAGCAATCAACACTGTTTTATACCACTGCATTGAATGGGAACCCCTTCGAAAAGCTGAGATTCCGCAATGTAGAAACTGTCAAAGTTTCATTCACAGCACAGCCAATTGTAACATGTGTCAAATGTAGCGGAACACATTAAAGCAAAGAGTGTCCATTATTCGAAGAACTAAAAAATACAATGCTATCTGTAAGCAAACTATTAACAGTTCTGCCGAAGCAGCTGGAAATACAAACGGCAAGAGTTGAAGCAATTTACAATATAAAAGATACAGCATGAACTCAGACCATACTATTACTATTACCCAATCCCGAAACTGTACTTAACACAAGACACAAACTAAAATTTATAGGGTATAATTTAATCAGAAAAGATAGATTGTTAGGATCGAGAGGGGGAGGAACCGCAATTCTAATTAGTGAAAGTCTTCCACCAACCTATCATCCTATCCTATTTAGAATCTTGTGTAATAAAATACATATGCCTCCGAATAACATCATGTATATAATTTCAGCCTATTACCCGTCAGGTAATAATAACGACACATTTAAATCTGAACACAATCTTTGAATCTTTAAACCTACATAACCCCAGCTACTATTACATATTAACTGGGGATCTCAACAGTAAACACACAGACTGGGATAACCCACAAAACAACTCTAAAGGTAAAGCCCTAAACCACTGGCTTTCCTCCAACGAATTAAAGTTTAGATGCAATATGCATGCTTCGGTTTCTCCATCCTACGAAAGAGCTAATTCCTTTCTAGATATTTGCATAGCTGATCACACAATAGATATTTACACAGTTAACTGCTTGAGATGCATTGATTACGATAGTGAATCAATCAATTCAAAGTAAATCTCTTGTATCAAACGATAGAAACTTGAGCAACACAGAGACTGATCACCATTTGCTTCATTTAAATAATATTGTCTTGAAAGCTATAGAAAATAATGCACCAAAAGCAAAAATCAATAGCCCTACTCAAACTCTTTTAAACTTGCCTATCATAAAAAAACTGCTGGCAAAAAAAGTAAAATCCATTATGACATCAAAAAACATAATTGACATCAAACATACCTAGCTCCCACGACACTTTAAGTAGAGAAAGCAAAACTGAAACTTGTAAAAAAACTAATAGATGACAAAATTAAGAAACATTTTAATAACCAACTCGAACAAAGACTTGCTACCCTTAAGACTAACGATCCCTCAAAATTTTTTGTTATTAAAAAATCGTTTATAAAAGATAACAATAATACAATTAGTCACATAAATATCCCTTTAAACCCATCTCATATAATCCAAAACGCTGGCTTGGACCCCGACGCTCTGCAAAAAGACTCTGTCAAAACAACTACGTCATCAATAACAACAAATTTATAATTGAAATAGTCGCGACTCATTTCGAAGCAGTCCATGCTTCAAAAGAAATTAAACCCAACCATTCAGTCTACTTGCTGGTACAAGAATGCTTCAAAAAGTTTTTGAAAATAAAAACTTAATTCGACAGCACTCGAGCGACCAAAACAAACTTCAATACCAACAAAATAGCTAATAATTTAAATGACGACCAAACGGAAAACTTTTTTGTTAGTTCAAATAATAATTCAAATACCCAATATCATTCTAAAAAACTTCTCCTCAGAACTAATATTAGAATATTGCACTTTATTCAATAATATGTTAAGCAATGCCTACTTCCCATCTAACTGGAAAACAGCTAAACTAATTGTGATTGTGTTAAAGAAAATTAAACAAATATAAAACAAAATTTTTAAACGTGCCAAATGGAATAAAGTCGTGTAAAAAATTTATTTTTTTTTTTCAAACCGTGTTAAAAACAGAATTAGTTGTACATCCAATTAACTAGAAAATGAAAATAAAAAGTTAATCTAAAGTCTTATATTTAGAATTGCGACAATATCCAGATAAATTTTAAAACCGCGCTTGAATGTCAATATCGAAATTCGACTATTTCCTTAAGAAAATTGCGCCAAGTATCCACAAGAATTGCGCAAATTTCCCCTTTTACACCGTGTGAGAGGGTGACTGTCTGTCTGTCCGTCTGGCTGCCCGTGCAAGCGATAACTTGAGTAAAAAATTAGATATATTGATGAAACTTGGTACACATAATCCTTGGCACCCAAGCGGGGTGGCGCACCATTGCCACGCTCATAACACATAATTAATCGGAAACCTATAAAGCGCCATAACTAAGCTCCGCAAGAGAGTTCATGACTGTTATCAGTAGGTACAGATCGCATTAGAGAGGGTCATATGGGGTTTTGTGACGTGGCCCCGCCCTCTTATAGGTTTAATCAATTATCAACGAAACTCGATCAGGACATATATTTTTTCAGCTAACCCCTCTCAAAGGGTAAATGAAAAAAAAAATGATACTCCCCATATAACATGTGTGTTGTAAAAGTGCGATAACTCAATAAATAAAAGCTTTAGAGGCTCTAAATCTTGCCCCCGAGATGACAGCGTTATATATATATAAATAATCAGGATGAAAATCTGGGTGACTGTCTGTCCGTCCGTCCGTTGAGATATCTTTATGAAACTTGGTAGACATGTTTCTTGGTACCGTGAGACGGTTGGTATTGCAGATGGGCGTAATCGGACCACTGCCACGCCTACAAAACGCCATTATTCAAAAACAAATAAATTGCCATAATACAGGATCATAATAGGGAGAGGCATCTGCAGTTTAAAAAATTTTGAAATAGTGGATATGGACCCGACCTCTAATAGGTTTAATGTGCATGTATCCTAAACCACTAAAGCTATAATAACCAGATTCGCTCAAGACAAATCCTTTTAGTATCCCTACCGAAAGTGTGAAAATCAAAACACGTGCCTACACTTCAAAATATTCCACTGATACTTAAATTTACTCAAGCATTACGAAATAAAACTTTCGATACAAAAAGGTAAAAAAAAGCAGTAAAGAAAACTACAAACACTAATAATAGCAAACACAAGAAAAAACGTTAACTTCTGTTGCACCGAAGCTATAATACCTTCCACAAATACAAAGGCTGCTTACAAGAACTTGATGCCGAACGATCAATTTGTATGGCAGCTATACGATTCAGTGATCTGATCTGAACAATTTCTACGGAGCCTTGAACAACAACTCATTCCTAATTCCGTGAAGATACCTCGTCTAATAAAAAAGTTTCCATACAAGCACTTGATTCCGATTGTTCAGTTTGTATAGCAGCTATATGCTATAGTATAAAAGGGCAGGTGCAAAATTTCAGATCGAACAAACTTCGTGGCAAATTCAATATACCCTGTGCAGGGTATAATAATTCAAGCGAAAAACCACTGTACAACCAGAGAACACCGGTGAATCGGTAGATTATGAACGCAACCGGCGCCGACATTACTGAATGCTTTCGCGTATCCAAAAATAATTTTCAAATACTCCTATGCTTAATATCTTGCAAAAATTTTCCGACAGCTTCCAATACGCACGTACGTTTTTGTAGGTTGGATTTAGCAACAGCAAATATGAATTCAATTCTAATTGCCTCCATTCCATATAAAGGATGCGAAGCCTGCCTGCTTGGTATTTGTCACGCCATTTAATTTTTTTAATGTCAAACTCTATATAGCGACATCCATAGCAACCGTTAGGGGGTAAAAATTAATCCGAACAACTTAATTTCCTTACTTCCTGTAAAATAAACATATGACTGCCACCGAGCAAATAATGCATTCAAAAAATTATTTAATAAACATTTGAATTAAATTTTTTTTTATTTTGTTAAAAAAATTATTATTCTAAAAATTAAAAAAAATAATTAAGAATTAAAAAAATGTTAATTCTATAAATTTTTTCCCGTTTGCGTAGTTCACCTGCCACCGCGTAATCCAACTACAATATACCTATGTAAATCTTGTCCCGCTTGTAGTTATAAATAAAGCAAACAACGGTTTTTAAGTCGAAAATCTTTATCATTAACGCTTTTTCCAAGTCTTACAATCTAAAACCATACTAAGCACTGTGTTTACGCACAATCTTCTCCTCACCCTCGCAGTCGAAAGTGACTTGTATACCCTCTGGTAACCATGGTTGAGACCAGATTTCCACATTGCAATTCTTCACTTCATTGTTTCCAGCAATAAGGTCCACATTGATTTTGTAGAGCGTACCAGAGACAACTTGTGTGCTGGCTGAGTTCACTTTCGAGATTCTAATTAGACGTAAACAAAGAAAATAGTTCAAGTTAGTAGGTTGGGAAATACTTATACTTCGGGTCTGAATACATGTACATACATACATATATATTTTCGTAAACTGAGGTGTTGTCGATAGACTTACTTATAAGAGGGCCCGTCGCCCTTAGACAATTTAGTTAGCGAATTTTGAAGTTCATTTTCCGCCTGTTTTAAGTCATCACCGCTAAGTTGGGTAGCGCCTCCAACTAATTGCTGCAAAATAAAAATATTATAGAAATTAATTACCTATGCAAATACGATAATTGCATTTGTATAAATATATTCAAACCATATGACGAACACTAACTAACATCTTTAGGTATAGCGAGAACTGCTGCGATGACACATCCGAACAACACAAATAACTTAGTGCTAATCATTTTCAACTTGAAACTTTGAGAACTACAAACTTTGTTGCTTCAGAACGAAGAGATGAATAAAACTGTTGACAACTGGGAGGAGAACTGACTTTTATAGGCCCGTGGTTTACTACTCGCAGTGCCAATAGTTGTAAGCTAAAACTACCTACCTACAAAGACTCATTTTCTCATTGTTTCATATCGAAAGGGAACACAAAGGCAGAAGCATAGTGATAATACGGCCAACGACCACCATTACTCACACCCACTTACTGTTCTCTCAGTTTGATCATTGTTTTCAAACTAATGCATATACATATGTGGTCTTATGTGTGCCACCTAACTACAGTAATGTGCAAAATATAAGCCACATTATGCAAAATTAATACCGCTTTGAAGAGATTGACAAAACAATTAGGGGTTTTGCAATATCTTTCATAAATAAATGACTGGTAAGCCCAATTATATTAAGGATATTATATTCCGATATTTACATTTTTGATGTAAGAAATATGTTGTCTGCTTCTCAGTCGACTCTGATCAACCCGTCCACACTGAGTATAATAAATTTACTTGGTGTACTTCTTAATACTGTATTTAAGAAATAGAGTTAGAGCAGTAAATTCTGAGCAGCTAACTGTTGGCTAATGTTTTCTAGTACATATTTTTTAACTTACAATACACTCATACATACTCAGATTATCCGATATTACCATAAAACCTTTAGCTAAAATTGTATCTACACTATCCACCCATGTCAAGTCAAGACATTATTAAATAGTCTTGTATATAGAAAATACACGGTTTGTAGATTTTTTATTTGATTTGAATGCCTCCTAAATATGTAAACAATTTAAAATTGATACTGTCACTAAGCGGAACAATTTATATATTTAAAGGTCTGTTTTTCTTTGTTTAATTAAAATCGAAATTCAATATGAAGACAAACGAATTTTTTCAGACGGATTTATACAACTGTTGTCATTTATTGTTTTTAAAGTGGATATACAATTTTTTCAAAATTGTTTGTATCTTGTGTTAAATTTTTTTTTTTTTACATATGATTTGTCTATTTTTAGAGTTTGTCCTTGCTTAGAACGGCTCCATTCGTTCTCTTAATGTAAGTAACTTTTTTACTATTCATAAAACAGGCTATATCATACATAGAGCAGGTAACTTTATGAAATTCATAAGAAAAAAAAATTACCACAAAATAATCAAGCTTCAACCAGTAATATTTATTAAACGGTTAGGTGTACGAAAAAATCGTAGGAGAAGTATTTGTAGAGCATTTAATTTATTTATAATTAAGAGCTCATTCTTGGAGAAACTTCCTTAGAGGTGTCGTTTGACCAATTTCAAGTATCAATCCTGAAAATTTTTTTTTTTTTACCCACCCTAATATATTCTATTTCCAAAATATAAACAATTTTCAAAACATACAATATTTAAAATTTGACAAATTTAGTTAATTTTTGTGAATAGATTTTAAGTATAAGACTCATATGCGAACAACTCCCATATCCGGGCAAAAATACTACCATGGTGGGTGTCCGGTTATGAGTACACTTGAATATTCTGAACAGATTCTTTGAGGCATTTTGATTACATATTTGGAATGGTTATAAATCTATTTACAGTAAATATAACCGAACAAATAGAATAAGAGCAACTTATTTTATATCTGTTGATATGGATCTCACACTCTCTTGCACATGATATCTTTTACTAAAATTTTCCTTATGAAAATTTTGATCAAAGGTGTCATAAAACATTTTATAAAATCTCTAAACAAAAATGGGGAATGTTTTTAATTTTTCAATAAAATATTTCCAAAATTGATCAAATCAGGGAACTAATAAAGGATTAACATTTTACTGATTGTATGACAGATAAGGAGAAATCTGCTTGGATTGAAGTTTTTAGACTACATTCAACACATTGAGCAGCTCATGTTGCACTTCCAGAGACTAAGATGTAACATGAGCATCTACAAGTAGATGCATTTCCCCATCAGCCATTTAGACCGTTTTCTAGAATATTTAGGCGACTTAGGCGAAGAACAAGGAGAACGCTTTCATCAGGATATTTTCACTATGAGACAGCGAAGCCATGGTTGTTAGAAGGCAAATATGATGGCTGATTACTGTTGGAAGATTCAAAACAAGAATGATGCTTTTACTCGTGCAAGAAAAGCACATAAAAGAAAGTTTTTTTCATGATAAGTAAGAGCAGTACATTTTTATACCCTTGCAACATGTTGCTACAGAGTACAATAGTTTCGTTCACCTAACGGTTGTTTGTATTACCTAAAACTAATCGAGATAGATATCGACTTATAAACATATATATAAATGATCAGGATGACGAGACGAGTTTAATTCCCGGTGATTGTCCGTACGTCCGTTTGTCCGTGCAAGCGATAACTAGAGTACAAATTGAGATATCTGATACAAGTGGTCCTTGGCAAAAAACGTGAGGACCAGTTCGTAGATGAGATTAATATACAAAACCGTAATTTCGTACAACGAATCGTATTAATTACTGGCATCTGTGGTTTAAAAATTTATTAAAATTGGGCGTGACCCCGCCCCTTTATAGGTTTAATGTCCGTATCTCTCAACTATTCAAGCTGTATCACCGAAATTTGCATAGGACATATCATTTTGACACGTTGCGACGGCGTGAAAATAGGTGAAATCGGATAATAACCACGCCCACTCCCCAGACAACGCTTTTGTTAAAAACTACTAAAAGTGCGATAAATCAGAAACTAGCCACCATATACTACTAAGTATATACCTGAGCAATGTCAAAAATGAATGCTTTCAGCCCTTCAATTTCTATGCCCACAATGATTTTAGTATAATTTTCGCTGACGGGAAATAAAAATATAGTAATAATAAAAAGTGAGTCTATGACCTTCAAAATATGTAAATAGGAAACCAAATTTGATTGTAATCCATACACCATTTCGTCGAACTATAAAGTTGAACCTTTTCACTATATTTCTTAATATAAAGTTTTGCTCTAATCCTTGCAAGTTGCAAGAGTATAAAATGTTCCGTTACACTTAGTCCTTCCTTACTTGTTTAATTCTAAATTTTGAGTGTTTTGGCTATAAATGTAATATGTTCTTCTGTAGATTATTCTCTTCTGTAGACCTCCTAGAGAAAAAATGACTACAGATTTGGAATCAGCGTGCTAAAATCATACTAAATCGTGTAAGTAATTTTATAAAACAAAACTACTGTTTCCCAGTGTTATCGATTCGCACTATAGTACTCATAGATAATTATCTATGATTATAATGTTTTCTTTAGAAAAACTTTTGTTCCTTTATTTGCTTATTTAAATATGTTTATATCAGCAACTATTTAAAATAAAATACTTTGTATTGCAATCAAATTTAGTTAAAATATCTAACTATTTTGGATAGTGTTGACTTGTACGAACATCTGGTATAAATCAAATATACTGCAAAAATCAAATCGGCACAGAATAGCATCGATTTAATGAGACTTTCTCAAACTCTCTTGTAAATAATTTTACTGTATAATTTTCTGGTTGCTTTCCGTATATGGTAAATGTTCAGTTAAAGGAGCAACATTAAAACATCTCGAAAGGAGAAGTGATTAAGTGATGGAGACGGTTGCTATTTTACAACGCTTTTCTGTTGTTGCTACGGTACCAGCAGAAAACAATCCCCAAATAATTTTGAGAAGTGCTGCCGAGTTGACAGTCCTTAGTCCGACTATCGTTGGAACAGGAACAAACCTTTTCTCTTGATCTTTGCTAAAATATCGTAAATATAATATTTAATAAAATATCGTAAATATAATCTTAATTAGTGAGCTGTTCAAGTAAGTAGTGACCTGCGAGTGAAACCACTGGTTCATGAAGTAATTATAACCCTGCTGAAATTAATGTCTGAAAGATGATGCAACCAGACTTTAATTATCTTAAAAGCTCTGTTACACTTGTCGTTTTTTTTTTAAGGATTTATACACATCCCTACAAGAAACTGCTGATGGGTTCAGCAATACAATACTCATATTTATTATGTTAGTACTGACAGTCAAATGATCAGTTAAATGACTGTCAATGTTTACGAATTTTCCTAAAGCAAATTCTGTATACGTCGAAAGGAGACAGTATACATTTCCATAGAAGTTTCGAGAAGTTGTAAAATACTTATGTAGCTGTAATTTCGTGGGATAAACCAAAAGTGTTGCGTGCTTCTGTGCAATAATTCTTTTTTTGTTAAAAAAAAATAAATAAATAAAGAAGGAAATAAATATAATCTACGTAAGCTATTAATAAGTTTAAAATAAAATTATATTTTCAGTTAATTCTCATTTTTATTTAGGCATTTTTAAATTCCGAAATATCAATGAACTGGAGAAACACGTACAGCAGAGCTTTTGAAAGGAGCAAGCATGGAATTAAGTAAACATTTCTTTTCATAATTTGTTATTTAATTATATAGGTATTTGTTGCACTCCTTTTTTATATTTATGTACTCGTATATTATTATAGCTAATTTTAATAGAAATTTTTGAATTTATTAAAGAAATAAATATTATACAATATTATCTACTGCGCAAAAGAATTTTTCACTTGTGATAGATTTACAGTCAGAACTGACAAATGGCAGCTATGACGTTTCAGTCATAACTGACAATTTTCAGCTATGATGGATTTATGATCAGCAATGACTCAGAAAAATACATGAGGCGGAACAGTATACAAGTAGATATGTATTGAATCAATTCCGAATACCCATGCGTTAAAGAGAGATGCAAACTCACTCACATGCGTTTGTTTACATCAGTTTTTGCACAAGGCTCTTAAGAAAATGATAGAAACTTTGTTCTGCGTACTGACAAAATTTTTTCAGCTGTGACTGTCATATGACCAGTCAGATAGCTGTCATTGTTCTTTTAGGGATATAGTGTTTCTCAATAAAATGTTCCATATTTTTAATATGTCTTTGTTTCGCCAAAAGCACGTTATAAAATAAGTATTTTTAAAAAGATAAAAAATAGTCAGCTTGAGACTTAACTTCAGCTGAGCTCTGCTTTAAAATTCTTTTGTGAAATGTACAAATCAAAGATAACGGTATGCATTGTACAGTAAAATAACATCTACCATTCTTATCGCAAGCAATTCTGGAGTACGGTTCTGTATCACTCTTACTTAATATATAAAAGAACAGTAAAAAAAACCAGTGATTATCGTTGACAAATATTACATGTGAAGACTTCTCCATCAAGTTCTTAGGCTATGTTTCATTATCACTGGAACATATGCATAGAGACTTTCTTTAGATACCTTGAAAAGGCTACCGTGGTTATTGATACTCTAGAATTATAAGATATTTTAAATGGGCTAATAGGCATTTCCTCAAATATACACATACTTACATGTTGTACATATGTATAATCAAATCGCACATAAATATTTTCATTTGTATAATTGAACTAATTACATGGTTAAGTCCTATGTACGGGTTTTAGGCTGACATCAGAAAGGGAGAGTCATACAAGATTGGTAAATCTCAGGGGATTGTTGGATTCAAAAGTTTAATAAATAGGAAATTTTATTTAAAAAAAAAATATATACGAAATTGTATCGTTGGATAGTCGACGAAATTCTGATTATATGTTAAAACCCGTTTATGAAAAGGACCATGTTCCAACAATCCTTCAAAGCCCTGAGTATACAGTAGGAAAGTTTCTATAAAAATGCCGTTACTGTATATAAATTTTCCACTCATGTAAAGTGGTGTGTGATAACAAAACAAAGTAAATAAATTTTGTAATTATTTCGGAATCCATTGACATTTGTTCAATGTATGGCAATATACTCGAACATATAAACATATACATATGTATGTACATACATATACATATGTAACGTAAAAATGGGCAAGCGCCAATATAAATACATACTTGTTCATATTTATATGTATCTACATATGTATAAATGACATGCTGATTGTATCAAATTGTTTTAATTTTTTTATACATACATATGTACATACCTACACATTTTGTATATTCGTTGTTCGGTGTAAGAGTCATTTTTATTTTCAATATAAAAACCGGATAGTATTATTAACATAAATTTAACTTTTGTTGTTTTTTATGTGAATTGTGAGAGGTTTCCATTCTGGTCATTTTTCGATCAATGCATGGTTCAAATTGATAATTTGTTGTCTG